CTAAGTAAAACAATGCGAGACCGTGTCAACTGACCAGCGACCGCCGAGACGTGATTTCGCTTTGTAATTGTAGATTTGACTTATATTCGTCCTGTTGCGGAAAATATAGTAACACGTCCTGACCTTGCGTTCTCGTTCGATGCGCCGGTTGTTAGCGCGCGGGTGCAGTTTGCGTTTAACTAAGTGTTCGTTTTTGCAGTCAAGCAGTCAATTACTTTGCCTAATTGCGGTTAGCAACTATATTTGGGCAACACCCTAGTATAGCAACCGTCAACCAAGTTGATATATAGCTATCGATTGCAGTTTTTAAGACGAATACGTTTTTTTTTTACTCTTCATACAAATCATCGTTTTAATGGCTCTCGCCCTTTTGAATTTTTTTATATTAAATTATTCGTATTTTTTCCTATTGCAAGGTGGCCTTGTTTTTTCTTTTTCTTTAAAAAATGAAGGTTGGATCACACAAACACTCAAACTCAAGATTTCATTTTATTAGAGGCTGGGCCACAAAATTAATAAAATTCTCTTTGGTCATTAATACCAATGTCATCGAAATAGTCTTTCATGTTTTATTCTTATTTACCATTGCCATAAAGTTTTTATTAGTCATTAAATTCATAATAAATATGGCATTGTTAATTTGAATTTGCAGATTTTTATGAACTAATTTAGTTCTTACACTAAGTTGATTCCTTTATTAAGATTAGACCTCAAACCAAGAGAGATGACCGGGCACTGTATTGCCGATTTGCCATCAGGAAACATGAATTAACATGTCCCCTTTGAAACAAACATTAGATATCAGTCTATCCTTCGTATCCGTCTTAGTCGCGGCGAGAAATCCGCATTTTCGACGCCCGCCCGCCGAAAAAAGCTTCGACCTATTTAAAAAATGGATTTATCGGCCGCGCGAAAACCGTGATGTAATTTATAGACCTGTGTAATATATAGGTCCTGGCCGCTTGCCGCTGCGGCGCCGGCACTGAAAGGATTAACCAGGTTAGGAGGTCGTCGAATCGTTCCTGATAAGTTTATTAAGCCACGTGCACGGATTTTTATTTTAAATTTTACCACGTATCTTTATTGTGACCATGCTGAAGTATATCTCAAGCATCAGTTAATGTTGAAGGCGATGAGATCAGTAAGAGATATGTTTCTTACATGTATGTGTTCTGCGATAAACGGTAAATTTTCTCAATAATTCTGCCGCATGTGTGTTTTTCAGCCGAATTCAAAAAATGAGGAGGTTTGTTACCTCATAACAAAATATGTATGTGTAAAATACGTATTAGGTAATATGTATTAGGATTTTAATTTATTAGGTACGGAAAATATTTCACGAGTTAAAGAGAGTTAAAATTAGCGAGGAATGTTCACGCGACAAAACCAAAGTACGTAAACTGTGTTAAACATTAACGACTAAGGTGAGGGTTATCACCGCTGAGTACAGAGTATGTACAAACCTTTTTTTATCTGTTTTGTTTTTGATGTGATGGCAAGAAGGCAGTTCGCGTGATGTTAAGTTATTACTGTCTACAACACCTTGAGGTTCCATTGCGTTGCTACTTTTGTGGAGTGGACTTGGTTGAATCGCCAGTAAAATAGCTACACTTCACAATGGTTTTCTGTAAGTCTCTGGTGCTTTCTCACATGGGCCTGATTATAAATTTCGGCGTTTTCCTTACTACTTCTTTACTTTTCGCATTTTTTGATTATAAGAATAACAAATTCGAGGTCGAAATCAATTTTCTCGTTATTGCATGATCTAATATTTATATTCAAGTTAACCTTACGACGAAACTTAGGGATAATCGAAATCTATGTAGTTTTACAAATCATTTTCATCCTTGAGTTTTATTCTTCTTTCTGGTAACCTTGTTATCACGATGAGTGTGGCAAAGTTACCAGAAAGAATCTGATAAGATTAAACCCTATTTTAAATAAAGAAAAATTAAAAAATAAATATCGAATTCAAAATGATCTGCAATGCTACCTATTTTTCTTCCTAAGCAGAATTATAATGTAATACATACATAATAATTCTGCTTAGGAAGAAAAATAGGGTTGCGTGTGCAAATTTATGATCGCGGAATGCAAGAAACAATCTTGTTGTTTTTTTTATTGCATTCAATTCAGAAACACAGCCCTGTATAAATACGGTGGCGTACGTCAGTCATCGGCCTCGGCTTCCGGCTGCCTTCCATAGTTCAATGCCTCGCCAGATTCGCGTCTCTCCGCCCGACCTTCAGAACGTTCGGTACAGGAGCGCGGGCGGATAAATCACGCTGTATCGTACACTATTGCCGCTTTGGTTAAACATTCTAACGATGTTTAGAATAGAACTGCGGTAATGGGCGTCGATCGGTGTTTCGCGTTGCATTCGCACAGCCGCCCGTGGATGCATGCCGGTGCATTGCACGTTTCTGGGCGTACCAGATCTCGACGTTACGCTACTGTTTTTCTATCCAATACGCCTGGACAGAGATTTACGATCTGTTGTTCTATTAACCTGTATAATAATACGGGGGCGATAAGATAATAGGATGCATTCAAGTGATTTAATGGATGAGAAGGATAACTTTTTTATGTTCCATAGTAGTATTGTCGAACATACATGCATTTTGTTTCAATACACAAGAGATTTTTTTTAAAACTGTTGAATGATAACAATGAACGTAAATGCATTTAAGGATGGCCTTGATTTGCTGTGCCATTTATACTGCAAAATGTGATGAAATTTTTGCTAGTCAGCGGAAACGTGGGCATAGGAACTTACACATGTAATTTTATAGGTTTGTGCCTCTTGGTATGTTTATAAACGTCTTTAACAGTGTTAAGTTCATCAATATTTATAACAAGTTAGCTATATAATAATTAAAAGGGAAGTTTAAATAAAAATTACTTATCATATCGTTCATATCGCAAAACTGCTTGAAATAGTTAATCACACCTGAACTGACACGAGATGTTGCTTCCCTCACTAAACATTCGCAATGGACAGCCGCACGTGGAACATTCTGGACGGACGCAGCGTCGTACCGAATCAAAAGTATCCCACAGGAATGTTCCGGCGTGCAACAAGTCGCTCCCCAGCGCGGCGGCACGGCATCCGCCGCTAAACGGCGTCCAAACTTCCAATTTGCGTGGCCATCAACTTATTTACTCAGACGTGAATAAATTCTTTTTTTATTGCACCGCTGCAGCAGCCGCTGTCGATCATTGGTTTGACATTCAAACAGTCTAGCTAACATTGCAGTGGGTGCGTTTGTACGGCGAGAGATTTTCAACTTTCCTACCGCGAGTTAAAGTCCAATACAGTTTGTATCGCGCCCAAGGAGATCGACGTCCAGTGCGAGCGCATACGGTTTATTGTGCCGTATATTTCTTACCCAAGGGCAAGGTTACAAATAGTTCATCTTTATTTGTGCGATTCTCCGAAATTGTTGCGAATGATACCCACTGCTTCGTCTTGCTTATCACTTATAAGACAAATTTTAAAAGACAACTTGTCAATTTATACAATAAAATAACGAAACATCGATTTTTCCTCTAATCAATGTTGTTTTATTGTTTCAGGTCTAACCTAAATTAATCGAAGTGGGCGCAAGTTCTTTACTTTTTCTCGAATTTCGAATAGAGTACAACATCGATGCTATTATGAGATAAGTGAAACTTTACTGCCAATTGCAATAAGTAGGATAAGTTATTTTTTTGACGCGGTCAATTACAGTATTAAAAGTGGAGAACATAGCAGCAGCCAAGCGAGCCGCCGGGTTTACCCCGGTGACTGATAGGTAAGTCAACAGTTTGAATACTCAGTCAACAATGTGAATACTATAAAGGCATATCGAGGTTACGCAGCAAATCAATGTTTGTATACAAAACTTACGATTTTCGTACTAGGTTCTCCAAATTAAAAAGTTTCAGTGATCAGCAATTAGTTTGGGGGAAATATGCATATGATCAACGAAGTTTAAATAAAGATGACGCATGTCCATACTGTGCGGTGTTTAACAATTGTTCCGCTTTACATTATATGACACTTATTATATGTGAACTTGACAGATGATATAGTAGTTATGATAAGGCTTCTCGTATTATCTTTTTAGATCGCAGTCTATAGAATTGCAATCTACTTACACCAATTGGCGTAATTTGAGTGCCTAAGTAGCGACGCACTAGTATCATAATGTCTACCTCGCATTTGTAAATATCATTGTATATGATAGATAATAATATTTAACAGATAAGAAATTGAAACAAAGAAGTTATGGTTATTTTATTTTATGCTATATCAACAGTGTTGTTGCAAACTAAAGACATTAAACTCCCGTATTAACATTAATATAAAACACTCATAAAAATAAACTACGAAATATATCAGTTATTTGATTGGTTAATCACTACCCAGTATCAATTGCAAATTTCTATTAGAATGCTTACATTAGGTTGTAAGACAAATTGTTACATAATTATGATAGAATGCATGATTTTAATATTGTTACTCATTCACAGTTTTATTGTTAATTAAATTTTGCGGTCAAGCAAGTTCATTTATAATTTATACGCTACAATATTTTATCTTATCTTAAATTATATATATATGGTCATTGCAGATAAATGCCAAACATTTTTTGGGTTTTATAAAATTGTGTTTAAAGCATAATCGCAATTATTGTATTACTCATTGTTGGAACTGATGTTAGCTCTTCTAGTCCGTAGACTCGCTTCATCGGACGCAGAACCCGTGGGCTAGCCAGAACCTACGGGTTTGAACCATTACTCATTCTGGTTTTATTATTCGCTTTTTAGCGGCAATCATTTCCATTTCTATCACCGTTGAATATACTTCAAAATATTGTTACGAGCTGGGGGTCTAGGTTGGAGTTAAACGCCGGTCGTTTAAGTGTTCACTTTATTATACATTAGCATTACATCATTGACGCCAACAAACGTACACAGCGGACCTCTCAATACCGTTCAAATCTCCACTGCTATTATCGGTGCCACGACTCTCTCGTTGCGCACCAATCCTCCAGTGACGCGACTGATGCCGGTGCGACGCTCTCACCTTCTCCCACCAATCTCCACGTACGCTTCCACAGCTGCAACAATCCACATTGTACCGCACTAATCCCCCGCGTACGCCTTTACACCACTTTTTCACTTCACCTCACCGTCCACTAAACTCGCTTTTCATCTCACTTTTCCCTTTCTCTTCCTCTTCTTTCTTCTTCGAGTCCCTTCACTGTGCTGCCCGTCTAGCACGCTCCGGGCCACTTTTACAGACGGAATTTCGATCATCTTTGCGGCTAAAACGATTTTCATTTCATTCGTCTTTTTGACGGAACTCTCTGGAATCAGGGCACGAATTCGTCTCTTTAATGGAAAGTTCCGGAAAACGAACCTTACTTCACTCTACACTAATAATTTAGAATAAAACCATATGTGTCTACATTTGCAACACCCGTACTGTTGCAGATGCGTTGGAACCTTTAAATATATATAATAAAGTGGGCTCCGGTTACCTCACTAACAAGATGAAACGCCGGTCTTCTGTAGTGCTCCTTCCCCGGACGGAACCGCCCATTCATGCAACACCAAAGACTAATGGGTGACCCTACTACAGTAAAATATTGGGACACACACATTTGGGATTGCAAATACGTAAAGTAACTGTCCAGATGTAATGCTAATGTCGTTGTGTGTAATCTGTGACGCCGGCGTACATCTCCCGGCAAGCCCCTCGATTACAACAGCAGAAGCTGCTGTGAAACACAATGAAAATGTTTCATATTATTCCATAACGTCAAGATGTCGACCAGAATTAGTTACTTTGTTACTTACTGTTATTGTTTTGATGTTGATAATGAGGACTGTACTGAGAGAGATTTTGACTGTACCATGTAGTTTTATTATTGATTGAGCATCTCAAATACAACAAGAACTACTTGGAACAGTGGAACTCGCGTTTAACGATAGTGACAAAGGCATCCCGTGTTTAGTCCGCATTTGTGGTCGACACCTTCGGGTATAGGTGTGATTAATTAGCTGTTCGCTCACGTACCGGCTATCTGCATTCATTATCTAGTCGGTTCAGGCACGATTCTGTAGATTTACTAGACTGGAAAAAGACTATTTGCATTTAAGAGGCTGAACTCTGCTCGCAAGCCAAGCATTTAAGAGGAAAGAAGAATTGGTAAACTTGTTTCATACGAAGTAAAGGAATTTAAATTACAGCCACGATTATTACGGAGCGTGAATGAATATTTAGACATAAATGGTATGTTTATTACTGTAATAGCAGATCTCGGCAATGTATTCAGCGATGCCGATGACGCAGTAACTATTTTACTATCCAATTAAAAAACGATATTTTATGACATGTTATTGTTTATAACTTGTATATGTATATTTAGAACACACTTACTTGACATACTTATAAGCTACTCCTACAACATTTCTGATCACTTGATCTTCCCAGTAATAACTCAAACTCCTGCTTTTAAAGCAATGAAATAATCAGAAACAATTATTTAAAACATGCATAAACTTATAGGGTAAACTCACCATGAATTCCAGAATAAGTATATGTGTAAAAAAAAGAATCAGCTTTATGTACAAAGCTGATACTTTATGATTCTACCCCTCTTCTCAACTATAGTCTAGTCCATTCCATTTACAGAATAAAACATCAAGTAATAATGTCAGTATTAGGTACGAATACTGTCAGTAATAATAGGTTAGATTATAAAATATCAATAACAATCCCAATTGCCGTTACAGTCAAGCTCAGCTAAAAGCTCTACCGACTTTATTAAACCATAAAATTAGAACATACACATAGAATATAATTACCAAGTGCTCATAAGCTTGCACATATACTAATAAGAAGATCCTTGGATGCGTTGTGTAATTTCTACCGGCCGCAGAACAGCGCAATGAGAGTTCTTAAAGTTGTTTTATTGTGAGAACGGGTCTTCGCTCCGCGGCGATCGTAAACAGGCTCAGGAATTTTGCATAGGACCAGTGAGCTATGAACGAAGTAAGCGGAGAGAAATCGCCCTCTAATGGTTTATAATTATTTCTCTTCATGATTTTAGAGTGAAATATATTCGCAATTTTCAACGTGAAACTGTTAACTAGCAAATTTTATCTTTTTCTTAAACACATAATATGTTGTGTTAAATCTAATGGTTGTTTTCCTAAAAAGGTAAAAAAAAAAAGTTATCGATCGATAATCCCACAAAGTTAGCTAGCTTAGTAAAAGCTTAGTTTTAATCAAAAACTGTAAGTATTATTATTATGGGCTATTAACATTATGCAGTTTATTTGAATATATGCAAAATTCAAATAAACTGCCGAAATATTGTCATTCAATGTTACCTCTGATTGAATCATCGTACAGTTTTATACCCTGGCTGTTTTGTAACTGGGTGAGTCAATCGACTTCGATTAACTTCGGCGTAATTTCCCAAAAGTTTCAAACGACGAACGGTAAAGTATGATAACGAAATGTCTTTCCTGTTATTTTTATCTTGTTATTTATAATATTAAAATGTAAGGTATTTTAAATCACTAGAGCCAATTGCTTCATTACGGTGGAACCCCGCTGCGGATTGAATGACTTACTACCGTGAATAAATACTTCCTTGACTCCAACATCGCAGGAAACCAGCTTAAAATAGAAGCACTTATAATTTTGCGTTTCGCACAGTAAATGGGGTAAACTTGGTCCCTCTTAGACGTTGGAAACCGTACTTGTAGTTGCTTAATATCAGCTGAATCATAAACTCGTTTGCCTTTATGCAAGGCTACTGTTATAAAAACACACAGTTTAAATAATTTTTCTACTTAACATATACCATTTCATACTAGTTCAAAGTGAAAGTCTCTTCTCTATACATTTCTTCATAGTCAAACTAACGTCTACAACTTTATGCATTCCATATGATATTACATTCAGACACGATGTTTTAACTTGTTATTAGATTCCGAATGTTATTTTTGTCAGTGTAACAAGTATTAACTTATAGCCAATGTACAGTTCTCACCTACAGGTGCAACGAAAGTTGCGACAAGCAGTTAATTGCAACTGAGGTTTTTATCGTTCCGTAGGTTAAATTGAACGACCCAACGAAGTCTCAACACTTGTTCTACGGACACTTGTGTACCGGCACTTGTTTTGCCGTAACTTTCTTTCGTCTGACACTCGGCCACGCAATCATATTGTTCGCAATCGCAGTCGTCTGTAAATCAAATTATTGAGGCCAATCATAAAAGACAACCAGCGAACTCGTGTAGGCGTCGTAAACGTATTTTAATCAGTTTGATTGTTGTGCGAAGTTGTGTAAGCGTATGTAATTGGCATGCTCTGTAATTAAATAACATAAATTGTATAGCATAAAATTTATTGTCTTTCCTTTGGAGAAGAATTCTTCTTTTAAATATTCTGACTTCTTTCCTATTTCTTAAAACGGGATGTACTCGTACGTAAATTTTTTACAAAAAAAAAAACAAAACCGACTGCAAATATCTCGTTCTGTATTCATTTTATAATAGATTTTCAGGAGTTCCAACGTATCTCCGGAACCCAAGATCCAATACCAATAAAATTACCAGCTTTCAAATAAATAAAGAATCATCAAAATCTTTTCACTCAGTCGAAAGTTCTGAAGTAACAAACAAAAAAAATACAGTCGAATTGAGAACCTCCTCCGTTTTTGCCGTCGTTTGAAAAATCCGTAACATAATGTTGCTTATTCGTAACTGAATCCATTTCATTGTGCGAAGAATACCAGATCCACCGAATACGCAAAAATTTGTAATACTTTCACATCGGATTCACAGCGCCCGGTAGTTTCTCGGAACCTCCGCTCATTCCAATCTCTCGTCCGATTCGGATATCGGCCGATTCCCGGTATCGGATCGCGTGTCCGAAACGTGTTATTATTGCGTAACGCCGGAGCGGTCGTTGGCGTGCTCAGCCTTGCCAGCGCTATCACGCGTTTCCCGGGCCGATGTCTGGGTGACCTTTGGATTCGCCGCTCGGAAACTGGGCCGTCGGCATCTGACCTTTTTGTTTGCGCTGCGAGAAAGACGCACGGCCGCTAGCGCGAGCTCTATTTCGGACGCGGCCGGACGATAGGCGAGATTTATAAGCAGCCTAGGTTTACCCTATCGTCCGTATGTAGGCCAGGATGTGACTAAGACCGCTGGATGATTTATGAAATCGTATCGCAGCAATTAGCTGCTGTTTCGATACGTGTCTACGTAAGTGCATAACTCATCGAGAGTCCAATCTGATTGCTTTCATCGGTGAAAGTTGCTTGTCCACAACTTCAAGTAAACAGAACTTATTTTTTTTAATATGGATAGTTTTAATTTAACTCACCTATGGTGTGAAATATAGATCGTGACCGAGTCACTGGCCTCTTAGGCAGTGTCATGCTTCAATTGTCAATCTTTACCTAACTATCACGGTTCATCGGGGCCTGGTGATAGACGGACAGACAGCCAGACAGACATTGGAGTCTAAGCAATAGGGTTCGGTTTTACTCTTTGTAAAATCCCGTTTTACTCTCTCGTGTACTCTCTATTTAAAATGTAGACATTCAAGATTTTGGAATTGATACGGAAGCATTTTAAACATTATTTTAATGTTATGTATAAATAAAACATTAACACACAGTTATATAACAGCTTAGCGACAGTTTTCACTGTCGACAGAGTTCAATTACACGTAGTAGCGATGTGGTCGTTGCAAATAGAACAATGATTGATTAAGTCGGTTGAATAAAAGGGCGAACTAAAGTTGACCCTACGTAACGACGTGGTCGATCGATTGGCCGATCAGGGTTATTCTAAGTAGAATCAATGACACGGCACCTAGACTCTATGTCAGCAATATTCCACTTATTCCACGCACTTTTACCAATTAATAATAGTTGCCAATGTATTGGCTTCGGCGCCGAGGGTCGTGGGTTCGATTCCCACACGGGACATCTAATTGTGCGACCCACAGATAGATGTTTCGCATCTGGATGTTTGTCCATGTGAAATTTTTATTTGTAAAACGTCCTTACAACACAGGATAATGTTATCCCAAAGTGAGGGCCGTGTTTTAAAAAGATATATAAATAATATTATTCTGCGTGATAGAGTTCGTATCGAAGACAACTGCCGTAGAACAAAGGTAAACGACATAGCTCGAGGCTTAGTTAGCTGAAGGGGCAAGGGGCTGGCCATATATCAAAGAACCGATAACCGATGGAGATGATAGTGGCAGCCACGTATTAGCCATT